TGCATCACTATGCCCAACTCCCCCAGCAATTTATTATGAGTGATTCTAAGCCCACAGAAAAACTGAAGAAGGAACACAGTGCTCACCTAGATTCTACCACCAGCATCATACCATCCCCACTTTACCCATCGCTAATTCACCCGCCTTTGCTGGGCCTTTCGAAGTCCACCCCCAGGATAGTGCGCTCTCTAAATAACTCGATTTGCTTGTGAACTATACAGTTCAATGTTTCTCAGTGGTTCTTTTCGTTGTTGCTTCAAATTTTCAACATTTAGATTTTTCCCACTTCTAAGATAGAAAGTCCAGGCCTGGTGGCGCATGCTATAATCCTAGCACTCCAAAGGCTCAGGCAAGAGGGTCCGTGTGACGTGGGGGCCATCGTGCTCTATATCTCAAAAAAAAACTCAAACCAAAAACTGAGAAAGATGGGGAAGAATCTGTTTCTGCATTTCAGCAGTTCATGTTTCCTTTCCACATGGGCAGTGCTGATCCTTTTGAAGCTTGTGTTGTGTATGATGTGAAGAAGGAACTCAATTTTTACCTACAGTGGGGGGCTCATTCTAAAATTATTTTGCTTGAGATAGTTACATAAAATTGACCCTTTTTATTTGATTTTTTAATTTAAGATTCACCTTTTTTAAAAAAAGATTCATCCCTTTAGCGTGTACTTTGCAAGGGTTTCCAGTATATTCACTAAGATATGTGACCACCACAATTTGTCACCAACCATACAAAATGTCACCCCGTGGCTGTCTAGCTGTTCACAGCACAGATTAAAACTCCATCTTTCTGCCAGAGAGCAGAAAGGCTGTCCCCATCACCTATTGTCCGGTGTCCCAGCTTGTGTATTATTCCGATGTGAGACCTTCAGCACGGCAACTTCACTAAGTCGTCTGTGTTTCAAGAAGAGCCTTGTTTGCCACAGACATAAGGTGGATTCCCCAGCGACTGTGGATAAACCACTTGGGCAGGATGAAAGGCAACAGCATGCTCTGGGCAGGAGAGAGGCACAGTCAGCTCAACCTCCCTTTGCCCCTCCGCATCCCGGGCCCGAGCAGGGAACGCCCGCCAGAAAGGTACCTGCACCGCGTGTGGGAAGCAGCCCTTCACGTGGGAGGCGAGGCCCACCGTGTCCAGCGCCTCGCGGGCGAACTCGTTGGCATCCTTCACGAGCAGCCTGACCCGCATATTGTGGACCATATTTGTGGAGACAAACATGGGGCTCACCGTCTGGGCGGCAGGAGGGAAGGGGTCCAGGCATCAAGGCCGTCGCTCCGTTTCAAGACCCCGCACCTGCCCTGTCTAGCTGGGTGTGCAAGACTCCAAACCTAGTCCCCGCCCCAGACCCCGCCCATAACCTAGGCCCCACCCCCATGCCTAGACCACGCCCCCAGAGGGAGACCTGCCCTAGAGCCTAGACCACGCCCCTGAGCCCTACACCACGCCCCAAGACTCAGGCCCCGCCCCTGAGATTTGCCCCACCCGTGCCTAGGGTGAGCCCACAACTCCGTGGGTCCCCACTAAGCCGCAGAACTCTCAGGTGCCAACCTCTCTGACCCTCCATCGCCTCCTCCTCCAGAGCTGCCACCCCAGCCGCGTCCCTTTGCGCCCCCGCCCCACCCCCAGTCGGGCACCTGGATGGTGACACCCTTCAAGAAGTACTCTGAACACACTGCCTCCGAGAAATATTGCACAAAGACCTATGGAGGAGAGGAAGAGCCAGGAGCACGAGGGCCAGGGCCAGGCACCCCCACCTAGTTCCCATCCTCACCCTCGATGGGCAGTTTCCCACCACAACTGCCCTGCCAGGACACAGGACCGAGGGAGGACTCGCTTGGGGTCTCGGGGTCTGGGTACCTTAGTGGCTGCGTACAGGGCCCAAAATGGGACACTCCTCTGGTTAGCCACGGAGGACATGTTGATGATAACACCTTTGCCCCTGGAGGAGGACACCACGTTGGAAAGTGGTCACTGTTTGGGGTGGGGGAGGGGCAGGGTGACTGTCCCAACCCTGGGCGGAGCCCCCATCTGAAAGGGCTGGGGAAAGGTGCAGTATATGCATAATCCCAGCAGTCTGGAGGCTGAGTCAGGAGGGTCAAGAGTTCGAGGTCAGTTTGGGCTGGTGACTTGGAAACAGGGAGGGCCTAGAGAACGGGGAAAGCCTGGGGGCTGGGGCTCGGGAAGCCAGCATGGTAACAGTGAGTGGCTCTTACCTGCTGACCATCTGGGGCAGGACTATTCCCACCATCTGTCGGGCAGAATAGGCACCAGTGTTTACACCTGACCCTCCTCACAGGGTCGCCCTCCCCACCCCCTTCATGGCCTGTCTTGGAACCACCTCCCAGCAGAATGGGCACCCTCCGAGTGGTTGCTGCTGCAGTGCCCCTGGACCCGGCCCCCCTGGCCCAACTGACCTGCGCCACCGACATCGTGTTGCAGTTGATAATATCTGCTATGCTCTGGGGATGAAAAGGGACCCAATCATTCCCTCCCTTCCCCACCTCACTACATCGCCCACATTTTCTTACTTCCTAG